TTCAGCCGTGGGGGCGTTATAAAGTGACGGTCAATCCCACTATTCGTTGGTAAAAGAGTAGCCCAAGAGTTGGCGGTGGGTGGTGATGACTAGCTGCCTTCCCTCTAGTCTTACACTGCTAAATTAGGGACGGCTAGCGCAGATAGCCCTCGTGTAGCTTTGCGCGAAATTAAAAAAAAACAAACAAAAAAAAACCGTCCACGAAATCTTGTTATGTTGAGAAACGTTTAATATATTTAACAAGCTGTCAAAATTAAACATTGTAACAACTTTTTTATATGAAATGTTTATACTAGATGTACTTCTACAGAGTCGCCGAAAGCGTTCTGTTTCAATAGTAAATAAAACCAAAATTAAGAGTAACAAATATATTTATTTCTTGCTTTTCATATGCCATGCTGTGTTGTTGTAACCTACAGAGTGCGTAATTCTTCTCGTGATTCATGGCGTGCATACGTTTTACTGACGTCACGACAGTACAAATTGCAACGTTAAGTCTTCCTTATATGACGTCATATTAGTGTCTACTGACTGACTGACAATACACTACCGTATAATGATGTAAATTGTTAAAACAGGTAATTCTTCCAGGCGGCCTTTGGGCCCCTTTTCATGGAAATTGGGAAATGGATATTTCATAACTCAAATATTAACATTGTCTCTTGTATTGAAAACTTTGAATTTAGATGTTTATTTAATGATTTTGATATCCAAATCCTGGTACTGTGCTTTGTTATTAGTACCTATAACTGTTTGCTTTCCCGACGTTGCACATTATTTTTTGTCCCCCCCCCCCCCCCCCATAACTTTATTGGTGTAAGATATTTTAACTCCCAGTTTGCCTTCACTTAAACTTCCTGTCTTTTTGTCCTAGTTCTACTTAAAACCACTAGTGGCTCTTTTAAAATTTGTTGTTTTAATTTTAAAGAAGTCAGTGCTTATTAAAACTGGTTGAGACTTATAAAAGGAGCGACTGTTTGGTTGTTTAACATAAAACCGAAAGCTAAGTACATTTTAAAAAGTTTTTATTTTTTGTCTTATTTGTTTTCAATTATGAAAAAAATTTTATGTTACAGGAAAACATTATAACAACAATGGTGACAAATATTAGCAACAATATTTCCCAAGTAACACCGTTTTGTTTGTCGTTATTGTTTCCTGCTGGTTATAAAATGAAATAGCGAAACATGTGAAAAAATAAGAACCGAAACTTAGATCCCTATTCAATATTCGGTACAAATAGGTATGGCCGAAAATTTAAATTCATTCATCTAAACTGTTAAGAGGTTGAAATTGTAAAATTTTAACTATGACATTTTTATTGAATTTTTTATTTGCGACAGTTTTTTTTTTGTTACATTAAAACGTTAAAGTTTATACAATTGATCGAAACGTTAATATTTCAGGCATGGGCCAATCATATCGTAGATCATCCGAGCTAACAGCACAAGAAATATCCTCGTCAGACGCCAATCCCACAAATCGGATAGGACATCAGGATATCTTGTTTTCGCAGCAAGTTTGTGGTGCAAATATAAATCCACTAGGTGGCGCTGATTGGCAGCAACATTCGAAAGCAGAACTAAGATGGATACAGTCAGGCGGCAAAGGACAAAATTATTATGTTTTATCAGGAGACCCAAGTTTGACCACAACAGTAAGGAGTATATGTTATTCTACGCCACTAACAAGAACAGTACCGTTAACCTCAGTTTCTGAGTATGTCTCCCAAAAGGAAGAAAACCCTAGCAGAACCGAATTGCAAGAACACGAGACAGAAAACACGAAACCTGATACCGAGGGTTGGTCATTAATGTCAGATCTGTCTCCAGTTACAGATCGAGAGAAAGGTGAACATGTCGTCCAGACATCAATACCAAGAGCTACTAGCGGTACCATTTCTGGAATGATAGCAGACTTTAATAAAGCTATTGGAATTTCTCGAACTTCACCAACAGAACATAAGCTGGGAAATGTTTCTCCTCGTAAATCATTAGTTTCTGAACTTGACGTAAAAAGCAAATCTCTAAACACCATTCCACTGGCGTCTCAGAATTCAGAGGAGTATCAGATCTCTTCGTCCTCCAACACCAACTTTCTCACTCCTGTTCATCGACATCTTCCACAGTTAGAGATATCGACGAGACGAGTCCACAGACGGCTTCCCCAGCCTACCGTGGAACAGATGCAAGCTGCTGTAGCAATGGCTCCAAAAGGGGAATGTAAGGATTCAACAGATCCACAGAACTCTACAATAACTACAGAAATACCAGTGACGTCAGCACAGCAGGATCCGTCGTCAGGTGTTGTCAAAGATAAGAACCAACTCGATCGTGAAGTGCAAGTTACCAATGTTGATCTTACTACAAGGATGGATCCTCAAATTCACCAAGAAGATTCTTTTTCTAAAGAACACCCCACGAACCAAAAGGCCACTGTTAGCACTCACTCTGTGGAGTCTCACACATTCTTAACGTGCAGAGCATCTTCGCCATTATCAACTGCCACAATGCCTTCTGCGGATTCAGTCCACATTCTTGATGGCGCTATTAAGAAAAACATGGAACCTCCTCATGTTTCTCTTAATTCATCGTCTGTAGAAATGAAATTTTTTGCTGATGAAATGGATAAAAGTGTTCCCAAAAATACTGAGAAAGTTGGTTTCAACCACATCGATTCATCTTCCCATTTTTCGAAACTACAAACTGAACATGAAGCTAATCAACCATCTGGAACTCCAAAAAGTAAAGTAAGGAGGCTCAAAAGTAACAATTATCTAATTGTTGTTTGTTTGTAATCAAATAGATGTGTTTTGTAATATGATAAAGTCATATTAGAAGTACTAGTTCAATAATTTGAAACCTACGAAATCTTAGGTTTGTTGGAAGTTAAGCAAAAAGCTACACAGTGGGTAGCCACCATCCATGTTATCTGTTGTAGAGTCCTACTGACACTTCATTTAGCCATCATCCATGTCATCTCTTGTAGAGTCCTACTGACACTTCATTTAGCCATCATCCATGTCATCTCTTGTATGAAGTGTCAGTAGGACTCTTTAGCCATCATCCATGTCATCTCTTGTACAGTTCTACTAACAGCTCATATAGCCACCATTCATGTGATTTTAGTTTCCTTCACAGTTTCCCCATCCAACCAAACATGGTCGCCATTATAACTAACAGTTATAATGTTATACGTTTTAACACCGAAAATATTATTTTTCAGTCTATGTAAAGTGTAATTTACTTACTTTTAGGCTGGTGACGCACAAAACGAGGATGGTAATACAGTATTTGGGAAAGTTCGCAGGAAGTTGCCTTTTCTTCCTCAGGACCAAAAGTCTTCACGGAGAGGAAAAGATCGAAGTCGGAATCTTTCTATAGCTAATGGTTCACTATATTTTATGAATAAACGGCGATCCTCATCACTGGACAGTACTTCGTCTACTGATGACCTGATAAGTGAGACACTCAGTGATAACTCCATGAAACAGTTCGACACTTTTATCAGTGAGATGTCAGGACAGCCTTCGAGCGCATCCGTTTCGCCAAAGAAACAGACTTCTCAGACTCACAGTTCTTCTTATCTCACATCTACCCTGGGAATGTCAGAGGCAGTTTCACAACGTCTTGGATTAGCTGAACTCAGCTTAGTCAGTTCCAGATTACCTAAATACATGCAGAACTTAAAACAACAACTACGTGGAGAACTGAGATCCGTTACAGAGGAGCGAAAACGACTTCTGGAGATTAGAGACAAAAGTCGAGACCTGGCTTCTATACTTCCTCCTTTCTGGTTCGAAAACCCAGCAACGTGTGTTTATACTGGAACAACACATATCACAGCGTCACCATCAACCGGAACTGTGTCCTCAACTCAGGACCTTCTTAGGAAGCCCAGACATCACAAACATCATACATTACTTCAATTTTCTCCAATTAAAGATATCTATGATATGGACCCCAGTGAAGTGTCCCTTAAAGTCCAACATGTAACAAGGAAACCAGTAAAAGCCCTTGAATTTGAATGTGTTGATCAGTTCCTAAATTATGAACATTCTAGTTGGGAACAAGATAGCAGTGAACTTAAAGAGTACGTGATTTCTGATAACGAAAGGTATAAACCTTCTCGTGACGAAACGGAAGACTGGAGCCTCGAATATCTTGGGAATATTGATGAAGACTCACCAAGGTACAATATTGTTTTTAGAAAAAAGAAAAACTTTAAATCTTTCTGAAAGTCTACTGTAACGTTTGATTGACATGTAGCTAGATTTAAAGTAATCTTTCTGAAAGTCTAGTGGAACGTTTGATTGACATATTGCTAGATTTAAAGTAATTGTTATGTATCTGCTTGTTTGATAATTTCCCATAAAAATTCTTTCCGAGAAACCTCAGCGATACAAGTCCTTTCTTAATTAAAACTAGTTTATTCTTTCTCGTTACAAACTTTGTAATACATTTAGTTTCCACATTCACTTTAAACTTGTTTGACATATAGCTAGATTTAAACTTTACCTTTAAATCACAAAACGTGTTTGATAAACGATGGTCGCATGCTGTAATACGTAATACAGTTTATTGTATCTCCTTAACAAGAAATCGTTGTTTTGCTTGGCCGAGAGCGCATCACGTGGCATGAATTTTTTTTTCACTATTGCCTGAAAAGCTGGGCAACAAATCGCATCAGTATTGCTCGGTAGTCAAGGCTGTTGTCAAGTGACCAGACTACAATTTTTTGCAGCATAGTGAAAACACACTGATTCATTTAGGCCTAATTTACTATCAGAGTTGACAATTTCGCCAGTATTCTTGGCATATTGGTAAATTCTGTGCTGAAGTTACAGTTGTGTACTTTATAGCTTTATTGGGATCATGACGGTCGATTATATTTTGAAAATTAAACAGTTTCTAAATGCTATTGATTTTTCATTAATCCTTAAAAGGAGATCAAAATATTTAATGAAATGTTAAACTAAGATTTATTTGGAGGCCCTGGAATGTAGGCTAAATACCCTACGTAACAGCATTAATCAATCAGATTTTAGTAAAACTGAAAATAAAAGAGTGGGGTGGGGGGAGGGGGTAAGTTAAAACAATTATTGACTGGTAATTTTGGGCAACAGATTAATTGTTGCCTTCATAACTAGTCAATAATTGTTTAACGATGAATATAACATGTCTCGCTACACAATGATAGGCTGTGACAGAGTAGAAGAACATTTTATTAATACTGAACGAGCAGGATATATCGGCTGCAACTTCAAAATACAAGTACAGTATCGGTATTTGTACTGTTATCAATTAGAATTCTTATTTATTCTCACGAATTAATAGGTTTCAAGAAATGTTGTTTTATAGTAACAAGCTTTAATAAATATTGATATATTAACAAATTATAAGAAATGTTTTAGTATATATTAATACGTTGGTTATTTTGTAGTAAGAAATATTGTTATATCACGTAAACATTGTTTAAGAAACATTCATTGTTATATCACGTAAACATTGTTTAAGAAACATTCATTGTTA